AGAGACAGAGAGAGAGAGAGAGAGGAAGCCTAAGATAGGGCAGCAGGTAGAATTGCTTCACACACACCCACACACAAGTAAGACGGGATAGGCAATAACAAAAACTTTGAGCAGCCCACTATGAGACAGATGTGAGAGCGAGAGAGAGAAAGCAGAAGCCCAAGGTAGGGCGGCAGGTAGAATCTGCTTCACACACACACAGAGATCAAGAAAAAGAACCTTCAACGTCCCCCCCCCCCCTTTTTTTTTTGTTGGGGTAATTCAGCGGTAGGGATCGAACTTGAGATGTAGCGCTATCCTCAGCTGCTCACCACACAAGCCCAAGCTCAATTCCTTGAGAGAGGAAGAAATAGAAGTGGGCGTTAGGAATGCCAGGGCAGAGTAGAGTATCTGTTCTAGACATGGGACTCCGAGTGGAGCAGAGACAGGCAGGGCATTTTCCAAAACTGAGCATACAGGTACGAAAATATCCTGTTTAACAGCACCCACCCACCCCACCGCCCACCAAAACACACTTGTCAGCTTACATGTCCAAAATTTTGTGAATATATGATACAAATTTATATTTATATAATAAAAAAAGGGAAAGATTTTTCATCTTCTTCCAAATTCTTTTAAGAACATGTAGCCCTTTTCGAATCTTTTTAAACCAATGATCACCTGAGAAAGCTTGTTAAAACTGGTGGCATACTGGAAGTTGGCCTTTTTGCCCCATATTTTGGTATGCAAAAGAGACAAGAGGAGCAGAGACAGGACAGGACATTTTCCAAAACTGCATACAGGTACGTAAATATCCTATTTGACACCCACAGTCCACACACACTTGTCAGCTTACATGTCCAAAATTTTGTTATATATTATACATCTTTATAATTATGTAATCATATTTAGCCCTTTTCTAATCTTTTTAAACCAATGATCACCTGAGAAAGCTTGTTAAAACTGGTGGCATACTGGAAGTTAGCCTTTTGCCCCATACTTTGGTATGCAAAAGAAGTGGAACAGAGACAGGACAGGGCATTTTCCGAAACTACATACAGGTACGTAAATATCCTATTTGACACCCACACACACTTGTCAGCTTACATGTCCAAAATTTTGTTATATATTATACATCTTTATATTTATACAATCATATTTAACATATTTTGTCATATCATACTATATGTTTGACATAAATTATAAAATAATCACAGGTTATCATCTTCACTGTAGTAAAAGCGGCTATCTGGGAACCACGCTGCCACCTCAAGGGAGGCACTGCATGACCATCTGAACAAGCCTCACCTCACACTTTGGCAAGAAATAGTAACAGGGAGAAGGCATTTTTGCTATTTTTCAACCAATTATGCAGAGAAAGGGTTTCAGAGGGTTTAAAACCCCCAAAATTCTATTCTACTGAAAAGATCAAAGCACTACTTACATACAGGAATTTTTTTATTATTGAAAAATAATTCATTTATGGATTTTAGTACAATCTATTTGCCACCTGTGGAAAAACTTCTAGACACCAATAAGGAACAACTTTCCTTCCTCCTAGGTTTGGCAAATGTCTTCTTATTTTAAGATGCCTAGCTCCAGATGGAAAGTAGTATTCATCGTTAGCTTTCAAATGGCCCCTAAGAATCTGATACCTACATATTAGGTGTTGGATTACACCACAGATTTGCATATTAGTAATGGAGACAAACTTATCTCTTAGATTCTTTGCTAACATTGATTCATGATTCATCAACATGAATTTCATAGCATTTTCTGTAGAATAATATTTGATAAAAACATGATAACATTGAACTTCTAATTAATCAAAGAAGAGTTTTGCACTACATTGTACTGGGTCACAACTCACAGCAGTGAAAGATACACTGCATAATATCTGAACATGTGTAGTAATGTTACTGTGCATGTAACATTTATACTACTTGTTAATGTTATAGATCTTTAAAATTACTTAAAAATTATCATCCGCAGGAAAACTCAGCCATCTATTTGGAGCTTCGCTGTACCTACAAGGCCCCTGCATCCCAAATAGCCGAAAGGTCAGCCTGCCACATTTTACTAACAGAATCTAGGTGTGTCTGATCATATATTCTAAGGACGTGTATACCATGCTCCCATGGAAGTAAAATATCCATTTATTCCCATGGATAAATGACCTACTTAGGAGGATTCTTGATCTAAAATTTTGGGATTCACATTAGATTCATTAGATGAGTAATTTCAACAACCAAAAACGAAAAATGTTTTAGTACCTTAACACCTAGATCTGAGCGTCCAACAATTGGATGGTGGTGAAATCCTACGGCACATGTTTTTCAGGCTGGTCCAAGACTTGTATTTCAAGCTTATCTTCTTTAGGTTAAGTACATCACATCCCCAAAACTTGGGTTCATAAAAATACTCCTAGCTAGAAACTTGTGTTCATAAAAATACTCCTAGCTAGTGGTTTTGCCCAGGGAGCAAAAGTACATTTTGCTCCTGAAGAACCATATTAAACTCTTCAGATATTGTAATATACACATCATAAATTACCAATCAATAATAAACTATACGAATTGCAAATTTAGATGTATCATATCCAAGTGTATAATTTTATATTTGTTCATATTAAATGTCCATAACTATATTATTTTATATTTACAAGTATAGCAGGTGTACCTGGTAACCAATATCAGTTTCATACAACATCAGCATCAGTATGTTATGCATATTGAAATATCTGGGTATGTTAGTTACAGATTGCCACTTGCTTCTAATGTAACAGCTAATCAAACATCCAAACAATCAAGAAACGTGTTTGTGCATGCATAAAATGAAACATCAACAAAAAAGACTAAATAAAACTGGCCACAAGCTTGAAACCACTCAGTCTAATCAATCTCTAAACCAGAAGAAATTCATTAAAAGCAGATAGAATAGAACTTTCACCCATCATACAGCCCATTCTAATTGGTTTTAGGAAGCCCTTCCACTAAAATAGTAAGAATCAACTGACAGGTGGAAAAAGTGCATTGGATGTGCCAATTGCCAGCATTTATTATGTAAATAGAATGTATACATAGATGCATACATATGTTTTGAGTGCACCATAAACCTTCAGCATATTGTATGATATGTTATTGAAAATAGTGTTATTTTTATCCTGAATACTCATTGCTACAGAGCAATCTGTTTATGCCAATATGCTATTCAAGAGACATGTAGAATGTGTACTGTCTCATTTTTGGCCTTTTTCCACGATCTCCTCAGTTGCAATATTTTGGCTTTCTATGTATTCATACTCATAAGATTTATTATAAAATGTAGACTCTCTCATTTTTAGTTTTTTTATTTTTAACTATACTTATAATTACTTCAACAGATTCAAAAACAACAACAAAAAACTCAACTGCCTTTTTTTCCCCTAAATTTCTAGTTTAGTCATTGATTGTAGTTTGTGCACAACATAATCAGTTTTGATAACATTGTGCCAACAAGTCATCCAGGTTCGATACCGCTACCTCGATGAACTCCCTACAAAACTACCATGAACTACATGCAAAAGCAAAAGAATAACATAGGGTTTCCCATTTAAATTAATGTGTCTCCACATACATATATTGGGCCTTTTTCTTCGAGAAATTGTATTGGATAATATATACAGATACAACCAGTTCAACATTCTTATATCAGTTGTAAGATCTATATTTAATATTTGTTTAAGTATGCTCCAAATGGTTCAGCACAAATGATGCATGATGCACCATGGTTCCACATTTTACAGATGTTCCTTATAAGAGATATTGGCAACCATAGATGCGTGACAAGAAATGAGACATGATACTTACAACTCCATAGTCCCCCCAGAATTGGTATGCTTCAGAGCTTCATTGTAATCCTGCTCATGCATGTATATGATTCCCGCAATCAATCTTAAAATAGGATTATTTCCCAATGCAGCATCAGCCAACCACTCTTGGAGACTTGACTTGGTGCTTTCCTAAGAGTCCAAAATCAACACAAAAGTTTTAGGCACCACCAGAGTATAGTTTGCATTTTAGTAAGAAAAGGTCCGAATTAGTAACCGTATATCCAAGCTATGAATATAACTGCAGGCATAGGACATGTGATATCTAGCAATCTGCTCTAGTTGCATTTCAATACCAGCCTAATAAAAAAGGTGGAGCCATTACTGGAGCATTACTTGTAGAGCATGACTTGGTTTTGGCCAATGCTCCAATTCAAGCCAGAAGAGGTTTAAAAGATCACCACTAATCAATTTTTTACATTAATGAAACTACATAATTTTATGACTAATAAAGCTACATACAGTTGAAGTGGGAAAAGAAAAAGCTCATTACTAAATATATAAAAGACCAAGCACATGGATAATGAAGAAATAATGATTCAGGACATGCAATATGCAAAAACATGACAAGCAAAAGTCATAAGTAAAGCAATAAACCAAGATGAAAAGTTTGATGAACAAGAAAAGGGAAAAAAAGTCATGTAGTATGTGAGAACAATGAAGCGAAGCCAATGTAATATGTAGATCTGGGTAGACAACTACATCACCATGCTCATTTATTAAATAGAAGAAAGGTAATTGGTTATTGAGGGAATCAAATAAAGAACCTACCAACCAGCACTTAACCTCCTATAAAGCAGATCTGAGTGTATGTAGGAGCTGGAGAGAGGAGGAAGCATATTTTAACTGGAAAAGCCTCGTAATGGCCAACGTTGTATGGAAGGCACCAGCCCTAGAGATTCCGGCTTCTGTGGCAAAGCCTAAAACCAAGCTTGAGAAAACCCCTTTTAACTCGAATCTAAATCATCCTTCCTCCCCATTCCATGTCACCTCTTCTTCCCTTCCCCACCCTCTAGAACAAGTTTTCGAGCAAACGCTCAGGTCTGAGGCAAAAAACAAGCACTACATTTACTCCTAGTGATCCAAAAATCAAAGCTAATTTGCTAAATTCAGAAATCCATTATTTTTTCCATGTCTTAGAGCAAAGATCAGGTTCTATGAAGAGACATAATAGGTTCACCTTGCTTCTTATGAAAACTGCCATGGCTGGTGCGCCTGAAGCTATTTATTTCTATTTGTGCTTGTTGTTTCACATAGTATAAACTCTACAGAGGTGCCATCAATGACATTTTCTAACTAAAAACACATTCTATTAAAATAAAAAGTGAGAGAAAAACTGCTCCATGGACGTAGAGAGAAATGACACAATGAGCTCTCTAGGAAGGGGCTTTCCAAAATTGACGTAAATAAGAGCTCAACCCAGTGACCAGCTTATCAGGTTGTGCAGTGAAAGCTTGACCTGCATCACGATGTGGACCCAAAATCGGATATCCAAATGCTTTTACCACCACAACACTGCATATTTCTACACAAGATTGTTTCCCACAATCATATGGTAAGAATTCTTGCAATTGCTACTGTTTATTACCCCTTGTGTTTGCCTTCAAACTTTTGACACTCTGCTTCAATACTGTTTGTCTCCCCCACCCAAAAGCGGACAAATACTGCAGCAAATCAGTGTTCTAGCTATAATTTGGACTATTCTAATTAAAAAGAATCCTCAAAATTTTGGAGAAAAGACTTCAAGGCTGCCTAATCAACTGAATCATATAACTTAAAGGAGTTTAAGGGATACTCGACCGAGGATTTACCAGTCAGTGGCAAAGCATCATTCAATGGCAATCTCAACAGGCAACCAAATCCTAACATTGGATTGCACCACAACAAAGCAACATCAAACTGAATTTCCATGGGAGCTCATGGAGGACTCCCATCCAGCTGGGTTTGGACTATTCTGAGACATCAAGAGCAGATTTTGCTAACATACTCGGGAGCTGCGGGACTTGTCACTCCACCCAACCTGAAGTGAAGGGTTTATTCTTTGGATTTGGACTCCAATTATAGATATAAGAATCATGGCCAAAATATATGCATTGCAGAGGACTTAGCAAAGGTAATAATAATATCATGGGCAAACGAAAGCACTTCCATGCCCTTGAAATCTAGATCAAACCTTCAACCAAATTAACCTGATCCAACAATTGGGAGAACGGGATCACAAGAATTAAACACCAAATCCAAGGAGACTCATTTACAGCGTATAATGAATGTCTTCTGACTGGTCAAGTGTTTCTCTTAATCCCCAAGCCCCTCCTCTATTTGTGGAAGAGAGTGGGCTTATGAGATACACCCACAAAAGGGTAGTTGCTGATAAATTAGAGAAGATTTAAAATTAGCTGAAGGGAATTTCCTTACTCCAATTGGCTCAACAATGCTAGTTGTGAAAGGAGGACAGCCTCTCAATTGAGGATTCTCACTGACCTTTCTCCTAGTTTTCCTTTTTCTTTGGGCTTACATCCGTGGATTGCATTTCCATGATATTTGGCATACCTTTATGTTTTTTGAGGTCTATATATTAAAATGCAGAAGAAACAAGTGCTCCGTTCCCATAACTTGAAATCCTAAAGAATTAGTATCATGTCTTGGAGATGGGTACAAGAAATACATCTTCATCAATGATTAAAAAAGTGTCCATAGATCTCCAAATTCTCATTGATTTGATAAAAAATTTGCATCATAAACAATGCACACATTTTCTGAAGCGAAATACCTTATCCTAAAACAAATACATCTGCTCACTCAATAGAAATTGCTCTTAAGAAAAGTTAGTGCACATATTACAAAGACACACTAAAAGGATTCTTCTCCAATCCATTAAAAACACAAAGACAAACCAATCTAAACCATAGATCAAATCCACCGCGCCAGATATCAGCAATCACAATTAACAATTAACATTTACTTGGGTCACAAATATGGAGATTCAACTCAGATCCAACTGAAACCAACCACTCAACCTCCATTACCAATTCTACGCAGTTCCTTAAAGCACAGATCACATAAGAGAGAAATAACGAGTAAATCCAACAAACCTTGTGGTCGGGACCTGAGAGGTACAAGGCCAGGAGCTTCACTGCCTGAAGAGGAGTTGGTGCAGAGTTATCAATCTCATTGATAACCATCTGAAATGCAAGGAAAAAGAAACCCTTCATCAGATCTTAAAGAGAAACTGGAGATCATGCACCAATTAGAGAGAGAGAGAGACAGAGAGAAATCACCAACCTTTGGAGAAAAACCAAAAATTAAGCATCGAACCAAGACAGATAGAGAGAGAGAAGGAGAGAGAGAAGACCTGATAGCTTCCTAGGGCGATGTAGGATCTGAAGACGAGACAATCTCTTTCTATGGCTTCCTCCTCAGAAAGGCCAGGAACATCGCTGTTGTTAATGGCAGCCTGGTAAGCGCCAAGGTAGAAATTGTTACTGAGAGAGAAGAGATTGTCTGGTGCACTCATGCTTTCTTGATTGATTCACGACCCAAACAAGATTGAAGAAATTTGTATCTCGTCTTAGAGGGCTCGATTCAGGAAAAATTTGCCGAGATGGTTTTTAACCCTATCGGTTCTGAGACTCTGCTCGACCAAATGAGGGAGTCCTCAAAAAGAATATCAAAGGGGGGGTGGTGTATGGCTCGAGTTATGTGACATGCAGCGTTAGATCTCGAACTAAGTGGTAGAGATTGTTGCGAGTTACTCCTGGTCATGAGGGTGGTGCATATCAGTGCGATTCATTCCCAACGTAGTGACCGTAATGGAAAAAGTTATATAAGGGTGGGGCTCTAAACGATCAAACTGAGGGCGCACCTCAAAAAATTCATTAGAAGAGGTTGTTTCGATGCCCAAAAATCTTAAAATGGATCATCTCGACCTCGTTATATATAGACATAAAAAAACTATATTTCAAGTAATAAAAATAATACATCTTGCACTGCACTTTTGGAACCAAGTATAGAATGATAATACTTGATCTACACTATTTATCTGAGCTTTAAATATTATAATTAACGATGAAAATAAAATTTCAAATTATTACAGATATTTTTAAGAGAAAGTATAGAATGATTCCATTTACTTTTGATGCAAGGTGGTCACATTATTTTTTACCATTGGATGTGAAATAGGTTGGCTACAATTATTCCATTGACCAAGCTCAAACTTCAAAATAAATTTTTTCGAACTTTATGGCACAGGTAAACTATCAAAATTCACATCAAATGGTTGTAAGAAATTGTAACCGCCTTGTATAAAAAATAAATTGTCTCATTGTATATAATCTCTATTTTTAATAATAAAACATCATCTTTCAACAAAATTTGAAGGGGTGCCTTATTTTGATTGGTTAGGGTATCTACCTTATACAAACCATACCCATGTCTAATATACTTTAGTTGTACTATACACAAGAGGTGTACAGTATTTGACTGGCCCATCTATTTCTTTTTAAACCGTTAAATTTGAAATCATCAATAACCGTTAGATTTGAAATTGAGTAGTTGAGGATATGTCATTGGTGGAGCAAAAAGTCCAAACTAAGATTTCTCTAACTACTTTTATCTATTGGTGTGGTTTTGTATTGAGCCTACGGTCTAAACAATCAGATTAGAGCCTATCTTCAAATAGTGCCGAAAAATGTGGTTTCAATACTGAGAATCTTTATGATAGCCTTAAAATATATTTTCATCTTTATTTATAAGGTTTAAAGCTTGAAAAATAGTGTAGATCGAGATACCTATGATAACTTGAAAGTCTTGAAAATTGATGGTTAAAAAAATATGTTACAAATATACTAGTTTCAAATTTTGAAATTCATTTTTTTCTCCTGGTCATGCATCTTGATGCTCAAATGATCAATTTGATGATATTTGGGCTTCAAAACAACCTCTTCTAGTGAAATTTTTGAAATAGACTCTAATTTGATTATTTAAAGTCCTAGCTCTATATAAATTTTTCTCTTTATCAATTGGATTTCGCATTTAATGGCTAAATATAATTGTGACCTCCTTCCACTGAAAATAAATAGTCCCGCAGTATACATAGTGGTGAAGGGGTTCATGAGCTTTGAGAAAAGACGTGCAAAAGTGTTTTTAAGAGTATGAATTGGGTGTTTCCATGTGTGTGCCGTGAAAACCCAAGAGAGCCCATTATAGAGAAATTTTTGAGGCGTTTTGTGGATCTTTCGTCTCACGTCATTTTTGTTGTGCATAATGTTTATTTAGCCAAAAGAAATAAATTTACTCCCTCAGGACAATCCCAATCTAGGAGATTTTTAGAACCCCAAAATGATGTAACCTATTCAATCTATATGTTATGTTAAATAAATAAATAATATGTTATGTTAAATAAATAAATAAATCCAAATTGTATTATGTATGGGCTTGAAAAAATAATGGTGAATAGAAACCATTCAATTTTTTTAAGGGTGAAGTCTAAGTTAGAGAACTCAAATTTTAAAATTTTTATTTTGAATGAAATAATCTATTTATTTTTACTTGGTTCCAAAATTTTCAAATAATAAAATCTTCCTAATTTCGTCATTAGTCAGAGGGAGCAAGTATATAGTGTGCTCCTGCAGAAAATAGTATGTGTAGTTTTTGTTTGTGATTCATCATTTGTTGGAGTACAGTTGCAATTATCGGCTCCTTGTGGCTTGTTGGATCCATGAAATCAAAAAATCCTGCATGTCTAGTTTTAGCGAAGGTGTTAGAACTTGGTTCTAAAAATTTATATACCTTATATTTTGTGATCCTAATTTAGCGCGTTTGTTTACTAGAAGATAAAACGTTTCTTAAAAAAAACAAAAGAGTTGTTGTTTGCTGGGACGTGACTTATTTGTTCTAAAAGGTTTAATTAAATTTCGGGTAATGCGTTTGATAACATGCTGAACTGTTAAGGAAGTTATAGGTACATGCATTTATATATTGTATTAATATATTAATCTTTTTATATTTAATATATTATATAACATAAATATATTAATAAATATATACTTATTAAATATATTATAATATAATATAGTATAATATAGAGATTGCATATAATGAGACCATTTATCTTTTCCACAAGGTGGTCGCCATTCCTTACAATCATTTGATATAAAATTTGATAGTTTGGATGTGTCACAGAGTTAGAAAAAATTTATTTTGAAGTTTGAGCTTGTTCAATGGAATAATCACAGCCACCCAACTTTACATCCAATAGTCAAGATTATAGTGACCACCTTGTATTAAAAGAAAAAAGTGCAGTTGGCATACAGATGCATCCGTAGCTATAGAGGTAAGGTGCACCGTCTAAATTTTATCATGGTATATTAATTTTGATGTAAAATGTTCTTAGGATTATCTCAAAATCTATTTTTATA